AACAGGATCTTCCGAGGAGTTTCATTTACTCAGTAAAAGTTGTGGGAAAGTGTCTATTTTCAGAATCTGAAAACGGCAGATCGTTATTACTTTTTTATCAGAAGTTATTTAAGAAATAGCCAAGGAAAGTGTTTTTTGGCGTCGATAATAGTCTCTTACAATAAATTACAGCAAGAGAAAAATTTAGAAAAATTTCTCAGCAAATGTATCATATATTTCAGTGATACATGATATGGCATCGTATTTGCATATGATTTGGCTATACGAAACAGAACAGTGATCGCTAAATCGCCGTTTTAACACGTTTGAATATTGACATTTGAATATTTTGATGAGTTATTTTTAATAATTACGCGATAAGAGCAAAATTATTTGATGGGAATATATTTCCAGGATATATTAAATAGTTTTGTAAAGTATTTTTGAAATGAAGAGAGCAGACTACCTTACAATTAATAGAAGTAGTAAACCATTTTTTAAGTTTTACGGAGCAATTCTTCCTTTCTTATTTTAATGTAAACCATTACCGTAATCAGAGGAGACTTCGCGCATACCTAGCCAATATGTACCATGATAGCAGATGTAAGATAATAACTACTATCCATTTCAGAATACGAGATTAACACATACTTTTTCGATAAGTTTTGAATGAATATAGATCCAAGCTTGTGGATTTATCAAATCTGGCAGTACTTTTGTTAATTCTTTATCCACTTCTCACATAATTAGAGAAACGATATAATAACAATAAGAAACCCTAACAATTGATGATCGTTATGCCTAGTAACGTTTGATAAATCAGTAACATAGTGACAAGAACGGACATAAGCTATTGTTAATACGTTGGATATCAGAGATACATATAATGTGAAGATTGAAAATCAAAATGCATTCATTATTCGACAGATTTTTTCAGCAGGAGTATGGAAGTAAGAAAATAACAATAGCATAGCAGCAGCTGAAAACAGTTGTTATTAAACTATTATTATGGCTCTTATTATTCAAAAGCTTGTCCATTAATGAAAAAGACTACGAAAGGGTCTATAGACTAATGTTAAAAAGAAAAATATTAACCCACTAATATTAAAAATCGATTAAATATTTTTCCACTTATTTAAATATTAGTTCGTTCAATACTTTTCTTTATTTAAAAATTTTTCCTTTGTTTTAAAATAATTAAATATTTTTCTATTCTATGCGAAAAACTTTAATATTTTCCTATCTCGTTTATCTGATTCTAGATGATGGAACTGATGTGGCAATTTGAACCTACCAAGAAGGTACGCATATGCGGAATCTGACTTTCCTACCTTATTTAAATATTTTTCTAGTTGAATAAAACAGTTTGATATTTTTCTATCTTACACCAAGAAAAATATTTAATTGAATTTTAATATTAATCGTTTAATATTTTGCTTTTTAACTTTTTTCGGTATACCCCTATGAACACACAAATAATAGTATACTGAAGCGCTCTGATTTTTATTTTACTAACTAATCAATAATAAAATAAAGTAGATTAAAAAGTTTGAAAAACCATATACATAGTTATGATACAGTTCATGAAAGCTGAAATCTCTTTCTGTGCGCTTGATGTTTAGGAAACATAGAGAGTATAAACGTTAGAATTGTAGAAAACAGAAAATCTGCTTTTTAGACTGGATATTCGAAGGGAAGGGCACAAGTATTCAAAATCGACGTTATTGAAGGATGGTTCCTTACCAAAATAATATCTCCGACATTCATCTAACATTTCATTAGTTGTTTCATGTGTATGCTCCATTTGAAGTAAAATTTCAATTAACATTTGAAACCAAATGAAAACAACTGATTCTTTACTTAAATTTTTAATTGAATTTTCTTTCAGATCAGAATTAAATACAGTTATTGGTGGTAAGATTTCTTTCAAATCATCGTCATTATCATCATTATTATTCCTAAATTGTTGTTGTTGTACTTGGTCGAACTCTTTAATATCGACGAGTAATTGTTCACTCATTTGATCTTAATCATAAAAAATACTTTTAATTTTTGAATATTAAGTTGTCCATTCATAATTCATATTTTTTAATTCGGAATATAAGTAAATTGATATATCTGGTCGATCCTGTATAAGTGCAATAATACTTTCAGCATGCGGATGTGAAATAATAATAAAAAAATTACCACGTTGAATGAGATTTATGTATGAAATGAAATCGCACGCTTTACCAAATGTTTTTAAATAATAAAATATAGTATTAAGACGATCTTTTATGCGTTGATAATTGTGGGATTTTTCATTTTCACTATAAATCCAAATGCCACTGAAATTTTGATTTAATTTTTCTTCATTAATCAATGACCTTGAACACAAACACAAAATTTTTCTACTTGCATCAGCATTTATTATTTATTCTAACTTTGACGATCGTACCCTCACAGTACATTGATGTTCTAGATATTTTTATTCTATCATCCGTTCCAAAATACAAGGCCATAGGTTACTTTTGGAATCACTCAATTACACTGATAGATAGCGACCTGCGGTGTTCACCACCATGTTGCTAAGATCTTAAGACATGTTTTTCCAAGCAGAAACTTATTTCAAAACCAGCTCCATTCTCAGAAAACTAACATACAAAGTTAGTAATTCTTTTGCATGCGTAGATAGTTCGGACGTTACTCTACAATTATGCAAGTTCCAGGACTTCGGCTATCGTCGTTCGGACAGGACTCGCTTTCCCCTAGCGCATGTCTGTCTCCGAGCAGACACCTCTGCGAACCTGGAAATGCCATGTAAGAGATTCGCAATGAGACGAAACCAAATGCAATTTATACCTCTGATAATTCTGCATAACATAAGAATAAACTTTATTCGAAAAAAGATGGGTATCATGTTTAGAAATGGTTTACAAAGAAAAGAGGTCGGACTAGCATTTTGACAGAAAGATTCCAATTATTTCAGTCTCAACGAAAACTGATATTTCTGGAATTGTGAATTCCACTTTGTTGTAGTTTGTAGTAAACTTACTAAAAAGTGTTTCGTGATTTGTTCGGTTAAAATTCGATGAAAGTATATTTAAATCATTTTTCGCTCATTTTTAGACTAAAGTTTTTATTTTAATTTTTTGCATATGGAATGATCCTTACAGTCCAAGTGCCTGTAAAATCGGTGCGTACCTAATGTGCCCTAGTTGTAAGTTATTTCGTACTCTGTCAGCTTCGTTAATTAAAACGAAAGAAACTGAAAGGGACCTTTTTCTAAAAAACAGATCAATATATAGTACAACTTGTGTGCTTCAGATTAGTATAAAAAGTGGAAAAGGGTCCTCACTAATTATTTTAGTTTTAATTCACGAAGTGAGCAGAATATTGAATAAAAATCACAGTCAGCACAACTTCTTTTGAACATAAAATGAACGAACATGTCAATAAAAATATAAAATCTACTTTTCCTTATTTTGTTCTTTAAAGAGAAATAACGTGCTATATACTACTGCATCGGAATCCTTCATACCAAGCTTTCTTAAGTTAATTCGATTGGTAAATTAGTATCGATATAAATAAACAAAAACTGTCGTAATATACCACTGTAATGTTTGACTAATTCCTCTAATGTTTTAAATACTCTTCTTGCTGCTATATAATAGCCCTGTTTTGCATCTAATGAACGTATGTTATAGTGTTTCACATGCGCATCACGTTGATCATCTAAATCACGAACGCTCAATGAATAAGGGCCTTGAATGAAACGAAAATAAACTTGTACAAATATAACTGCAAATAACAAACAAGAAAGTTATTAATTGAAAATGATAGTATGTGTGTTGGTAGCTTTTCATCCGCATGGGTGTTTAAATTTAAATAATCAACTCAAAGACTTTCAGGAGGCGAGAACAAACAAAATGTGTGTACATACCTGTGTGTGCATACATTTTTTCTGAATTTCTAACTAGAAAACATCCTCGTGGATTAATTGAATTTAACAATAGTCGTTCGGCTTCTCGTCTAATCACAT